TATTACGGCGTCTAATTGATTTAAATGTATTAACCCGTGTAAATATTTGTAAATAAAAAGGACTTTTGTAGGCTCATATAGGCAGACTTGACAACATCTAATTTTAAGCCCAGATCTAGCACATGAAGTGACTTGAAGCTGCTCTGAGCTGTAATTAATGCTATTGTCCTACCAACTCCCTGCGAGGTTACTCTTATTCTGGTATAAGTTTTTGCTTACGAATGTTTCTCTATGACAGAATTAGATGATTCTGAAATAGTAGACAAATTTCTAAACAGTAGGTGAGCACAAGAGACAGATGCTGAAAGGAAGCATCTACCATGTGACAAAACCAGCATGGGATTTTTGTATCATACAACACTACTGACATCTAGTGGCAGTGATGATAAAATTTGACTACGAATATTTTGAATTGCATCAGAGAATAACCTGTTGTTAGAAATAGTAAACCTATTTCAGGACTTTAGACCTTGATTAAAAACAAAGCACAGTAAGTACAAGCCTTAAATACTTTAAAATTAGACCCTTTCTAAATGGCTCTGAAAATGCTCTTTGAAATTTGGTCTCGGTTTGCCTCTGGAAGTAATAGACTCATTTAGCCTCACTGATAAGACTTAATAGCTTGTACTTACCCAGCATGTTCAATTTGTGGAGAATTTTTTAAATAAATAATTACCTTTTTTAAAAAAAAAACTTTTTTTGCGACCAGTATTTGTCACATCAACCAGAATTTTTTTTGCTCTAGAATAGAAGATGAACGTTCAGCTTTTCTTCCCCCCTAGCTAGTGTAAAGATTGTGGCCTAGCGCTCTGCAGCGGCGTGGATCGGACTCCCAGGAGGCAGTCCGCCACCTCTGTGTTCCGGCGTGTTGCTGGTTGGACGGTTCTCCTGTTTGGAGATCTGGTTGCACACAGTGCTTGACAGTTCACGGAAAGCTAACTTAATATTGTTAACGTACTAATCAGGGTTCTGTCTGCTTAAAACTTCTGTGACTTTCTTGATTAACACTTCTTTTGAAACACTTTTCTTCTTTCTCTTTCAGTCTTGGTCTTTGTAATGGGCAAAGAAGGGGTCCATGGAGGCGGATTGAATAAGAAGGCCTACTCAATGGCAAAATACTTAAGAGACTCTGGGTTCTAGCTGCTAGGCAGACTGTTAAGTATTAGGGGAAAATTGCTCTTAAACTTTCCTAGCTGTAAGCTTGAGTCTTAATTCTGGAAATTTTATTAGCAATGCGGGGTGATGGGGTATAAACCTGTGTCTCCTTTGTATCCCTCTGGTGGTGGGGAAAGGTGTCTTTCTTTCTGCCCTCCCCCCTTAAATCGTTCTGTTCCCTTTTGTTTTGTTTCCCTGTGTACTCCAGCACTGGTTATAGTCATGGGAAAGGAAGGTGTTCACGGAGGCACACTTAACAAGAAAGCATATGAACTCGCTTTGTACCTGAGGAGGTCTGATGTGTAAGCAGCCTCTCCCCATCTACCTAGCAACAACTGTCTTCATCACCACCCCAATTATGGTCAGTGCTGCCACACTATAGATGGTAGCTAATTTTTTCTTTACCTATTTTCTAATGTCACGACTCCCGTTTGCCCAATGGATCATTTGTATGTTAACCACTGTATGTAACCAACCCTTATCTGGCAAAATAATTGCAGCACAATAATGATTTGCATGATACCTTGAAATTTGGGGGGAGGGGGCATGCCAAGTTGGGCATCACTTTGTCTTAGCAATTAATGGGATATTGATTACTAAAATAAGTTAATATTAAGCAAGGTGCCGGTTGTACAATCTCTAATTAGATCGATGTCTTTTCAGCACTTGGAGCATTTACCTGGCTCATTTAGTCTTCCTTTTGTCGCGCATGGTTGGGAGGAAAAGTGCATGCATCTCTCCTTCGCTCCTCTCTTCCCATCCCTCCCTTGGCACATAAAGCGTTTGGTTTGCTTCCGTCTCCTCTTCCGCAGCGCCTGGTCTGTTTAACCCAGTAAGAGCCCTTCTGCTGATGAGCTCTGAGAGCGGCAGTAGTTTGCTTTCAGTGTTGTTGCTGCACTTGAGACAATACCTTTTTCATAGTATCTCCAGGACGTACGAAGAGGGCAACTGCAAAACAAGGGCAAAAGGCGCTTCCTCCCGTGCTCTCACAGTAACCACACCGATTGAATCCCCGGGGGCATTCCATCATTGCAGTAGCTCACATTTCTCTTCCTTTTTCTTTGTACACCAGCTCTACTCTTTACTCAGATTGCAAAAGGCTGCCATTATGGACATTAGGTATCCCAAATAACCATCTGGAGTGTGTCCGGTTTGTTCTTCCTAGGACCAATTTTTATTTGCAGCTTGAGTTTTTATATGAAGTTGCATTATTGTGGACTTGGCTGTCTTGTGATGAATTTTTTTTCATATGTATTCTGTGCCATACTATTGTTAAAATGAACCGTTGCTATTGTGAGATGGATTTTAACTGACCTATTAAGGATTTCTTTCGAATGGCACCACTTTAGGGACATTCTAGTATTTGCTTCTATTGTTTGGGCCTTGTGGATAATGTACAGATTTAAAAACAAATCTTGTTGCTGGTTTGTCCATTTCTTTCCCTGCACTTTGTTACATCTGGGATACAGTCTAACTCATCTGATTTAATACGCATTTAAAAAAATGCCATAACTATTAAACACCTTGTTTACAGACAGATGAAATAAATTTATTCCAACCAAATAATCTAGACTCCTGTTGTTTATGTGAATTGTTGGCTTACTGTTAAAGTTGATTTTTGACACTGTGGGAACATACAGAGTAGGCTAAAGTCTGCAACAAGCACAAAAGCTTATATTAAAAAAAAAAAAAATCAGCTGATTGCCTGCTTCATTTCAAGCGGTAATAATACCTGTGGAAAATAAAATGAGTGTCTGGGAATTTCTTTTTAATGGGCTTTGACCTATTCAAAATGACTTCCAGTCATTTCAGGCTTATAAGAGGAAAACTTAACCTCTTGTAAATAAATATTTTCCTCTTGTTGCTGGTATCTAGATGTGATTTATAGTGAGTGATGGGGCCCCAGTGCCAAAAAGGGTTTCTGCATAATGTGGATACTTCTGTGTTGAGATGTCTTAGGACTTTAGATTTGGAGGCTATGCTGACAGGCTAAAGTCAGCCCACTGGGACTCTGCCTCAGAGAGCAGAAGACTTACTGCAGATAAGCCTGCAGTTTATGGCTTTGGGGTGTCATGTTGATAATGGCTACCTATAACAGTCCAGTTGAATCCCAGAAGTCCTAAGATCCCTGAGAAATACTGAAGTTTAGTAAGTAGGTAAGTTTAGCGCTGTTGAGACATACCATTACCATGAACTGTCAAACAGAAGCTCAGAGCAGAGGTGCTCAGAAGTTAACTGGGTCTAAGCTAAACCAGGGAGCTGGTTATAATGCAGATTCTGGGCTCTGGGGCTCCCTGGAGGTGGAGATTCTAGAGGCCCAGTATGTCCCTCTTTAGAGACAATCACCAGGTGACTGTTTTCAGTGGCCTGAAAGCTGCCCTTTTAGAAACAGTGGTTTAGGGAATAGGAGTTCATCTCCTTACCTTACTTAGAATATATTGAGTATAACTAAGTTTTTTCTTTGACAGTGTTGTCAGGCATTAGGACCTGTACGTAGCGTGATGTAAAAGTATGGAAGATAGGGGATTTGGGACTACTTTGGTAGTTGAGCAAATCCTAGAAATCATAAAACAACAACAGAAACATGGTTATCAGCTTGTTGACCTATTAAGACCCCTGCTAGGGACAAAAGGCTGCAAATCAAAATTTGGCTGTTGGAGTGTGGTGATCCGAGACCTTATAGTAATACACATTCATGCTTTAGTTGTGAAGAGCTAATTAGGATGAATTATTACAGAAAGCCGTGACCAAAATTGTATCACTAAAATAATAAGTAATGAAACTAGCCGTCAGCCCCCTGCCCACCAGTTTCATTAGCAAAAACAGTTGTGACAACTATACACATTATACTTGGCGTATTTCTTAGTTCCTCGGATTTAGCATAAGGAAAGTGAGCTATACAAATTTATATACCTAAAGTCCATCACACAGTATTACTTATAATAACTGGGAAACCTCCAACAAAGTTCAACTTTGAGGCATGTGGGTTGTGTAAATGATTGAATATCCATAGGATGAGTTATTGAAGAATGGACACGAGGAAATGCTCACCACTGAATGTTATATGAGGATATAAACAGATTTTACACACAGTGTAAATACAACAGTGTAAAATACACATTTTTTTATATACATACTTCTGAAGGCAGTGTATTGAGATGATAAATATATCTCGGGTAAGTTTCTAGGTGACTGTTTTGATTTCCAGTGTTGAAGTAATACTACTTTCATAATTGGAAAGTTTTTAAATGAGGAAGGTTTTCTTTTTATAGGATTTTAATTGTACTTAATGTCCTATTCAAAAAGCTATATGGTAGTTATACCATCATGAAGGAACTATAAAACATCTTAAGTGAATATTAAGAGAACTAGTAACAATTCTAAGCAGTGCTGTTAAGTATGACACTTTATAAATTTTTTTTACAACTGAAAGTAATCATTTAAAATGAACCAGGACCTTGATCTGAACTGTGGATTCAGGGCTGAGGGAATTCAACATGTAATATGTGGTTCCATACAACCACGACTTGTAACCTTTTTTCCTTTTAAAATGTTTCTGGTTTAGGTATGATGCTACTGTTCTAATGATTACTGTGAACAGTGAGTGCTTACTGTGCATTTGTCTGCCAGCATGGGGCTCCATGTTTTGTTCTCACACCCTGCCTTGGGTAAATGAAACTATGCAGATGACCACACAGGATTAGAAAGGTCAGGACCATACAAGTACATCAAATCCCAAAGCTTCATTTAACTACCATGGTAAACTCTCCTTAAAAGATTTTCTGAAAGAAAATTGTTTGATACCCTGTTTCTCAGGTCTGTATTTTATAAAATAAAAGAGGGGGCTGGGGGTGGAGTGGTATCAGACAGTGATGTTGAAGTCAACCTTTTATTTTCCAAAGTGGAAATAACTTTCTTCTTTTTGCTGATTATAAAGTTTTTGTTTTTTTTTTTAAAAAAACAATTCAGAAAGTGAAAATTCCAATCCTTTCTTCTTAACTATATTTTATAACAGAAGGCCCATACACCTCATATACTTATTCTATAACATGCTTTTATTCACTTTATATTAACCATTGCCCAGTCTCCTGTAAAGATGTACCATAATTTACAACAGGGTATACCACAATGTACTCTATTGGTGGAATAATTTTGGCTACAGTCTTACCTTTCTTAGGGGTTACCTAATTGTGAGCAGTTACCGTGTATAAAATTCTAAGATGATGTGTATTTATTTTATCTGACCTCAGTCATACCTTTACAGCACTGTGCATATTAATAAGGCTAATGAGGTAAGTAACACTACAGTAAAACATTTGTTGGTTCTTAACGTGGAAAACATGTTTATTAACATTCAAACTCCCCTTACAAGGCCATATAAAAATTCTGAACATTTTGATTATTCATTTAGTCTATTATTTTCTACATAGTTACAATGATGTATAATTTATCTTTTTGTAATACATTGTTAAAATACATCATTTTCAAATCCAATACTTGAGGAATTTCCTCTGTACAGAGTTTAGCAGGGCTAATTAGCATAAGATGCTCTTTATTAAGAGGTATATATGGTCTGAGTATAAACAGTTACTGAAGTTCGGTATTTTTAGTTTTCTTTTTTCTTTGATCACAACCACAGGAAACCCAAAGGATACTGACATTCAGTGAGCAAAGTCCAGAGACATTAGTTGCTGAACCAAGTTCAGACGTAACACTATAGTATTAAGAACCTTCAACGTTTCTGTGATACCTGCACTAGTATGGAACACTGCCGCCAGGACAAGACTGCTTGAGAACAGGAAGGAAAAAGCTTTGAGTACATCTTTTTCTCTGTAGGGCTGATAGGAGGAAACATAGTAAATTACCTTGCCACCTCTCATGAATGATGGCAATTTGGAGAAATACCAGAACAAAGATAATGCCAATTCAACAACTAGGTAACTACGGACGGGGGCGTTGGCTTAGCTCATGCTAGGCAGCAGCGGCACTGACCTTGTGTGTAAACCAAGTTTGCATACTGTGGTCTAGGTCTTTATTGCAAGCTATACGGAGGAATTTTTTTTTCTTTAATGTTTTGGCTATTTTTCATTCCAAAAGGAGAGTTGGTGCGTGAGTTACGGCACCTTTGTATTACTACTTATTAGTGAAATGAAGTACACTCCTGCAGACAAATACTGGATCAAAAAGCCATTTCCATAATCTGATTAAACTGTAGAATACTAAAAAGTGAGTTATTTCTACAGAAATCTCTGAAGGGAGCCAAAGGAGAAAAAAAGTCAAATTACATACCTATATAGAATTTTAAAGAGAAATAAACCAATCCCCCTCTGAGGGTCAAACGGTATTTGCTATGTTGTGATCCCGTTCACCATCAGGCTGCAGTTGGACCACAACACTGTGTTCATTAATTCCGTTTTCTGCGTCACTGCTGTCGGTGTCTTCATTGTCATCTTCCTCATAGTCAGAAGATTCTGTCACGTTCTGATGTGAGCGGGATTCTGACAAAGCCCCAAACGACTGAGTGCTGACAGAGGCCAGAGGTCTGAGTAAAGGCGTGTGTTCCGACACTTCGTTTTCTTCTTGACTGCTGTCAGTGTCAGAGTCTGAGTCGCCTTGAGAAGGAACAACTTTTTGCTTGCAGACCGGACAGGTTTTTTTGGTTTTAGTTAGCCAAGGGTCTACACACTTGCAGTGATAAGCTGTGGAAGCAAAATACACACCTTTTAGTTGAGAGTGCTGTGGGTGAGCGCATTACCGTTTACTCTCGCCGTGTTTGCTCAGCGTTCCTCTGATCCATCTGCAGGCAGGAACAGGACAAGAAGGTTGGAATGTGTTTCTGACTACGCATGTGTCCTTCAGTGAGACCACTGATTAGTACAGCGCCTGGCTGGTGGCATGCTGAGAACTCTTCTGTCTCTTCCCCCAAATACGATCCTAAATGTCAGTTACTCTGTACGTAAAATAAATGTAAAGCAGCCTGTAATTACTCATACCGTGGGAACAGGGAAGGATTCGGAGCTTGTCTCCATCTTCATATTCATCCAGACAGATGGCACACACATCATACTCATCTCCTGTAACAGAAAGCAGTAAATCAAAGATGTCGAGCAGTAGTCTCTGCAGACTTTTCAAGTTAGGTCTTCCTCCAACAGTTATTTTAAATGCCTTTTTGATTTAGTTACGCTTTTTGTTTTCTGTCAGACCCAGAGAGCTGCATAACTGTTCAAGGACCTGAACTTCTCATTTAAATAATTAACCTTTTACGTAAAATGGGCAATTAAAAATGGATGTCAAATTTATTTACCTTATTATCTTTGCAAAAGGTTTTTATACAAAGAATGGTATTTCCATTAATGCTTTCTATAACTATTCAAATGCTAGTTTTGAAATATTTTATGCCAAAGAGAACACAATTTTATTATTTAAATTTCTTAAAAGTCTCTGGGTTATTTTTAAATAAAGATGGAAACGTTAGAACATACTCAAATGTTTTTATTAGCAAATAAAAGCAGATTTGGAATGAGACACACTGGACTTCCAATCTCAGTCCCAACATTTACCAGTTCTTTGGTGCTTGGCAAGTTACTTAGCCTGTGACACCCAGTTTTTTATCTGTAAAAATGTTCTATCTGCCTTGAAGGGTTGTGGGCATTAAATGAGATAATGTGTGCAAAGGGCCAGGCACATAGTACTTCATACATGATGAGTATTAATGTCACTGCCATTTTGTCTTACTGTGGAATTTATAATAGTCCCTGAAACCTGTGAATATGTTACATGGCAAAGGACAATTAAGGTTGCAGGTGGAATTCAAGCTGCTAATCAGGTGACCTGAAGGTAGTTAGGGAGATTAGCCTGAATTATGCAGGTGAAGCCACTGTAATCACAAGGGACATTCAAAGTAGAAGGGGGTGGCAGAAGGGTTCCGAGTCAGAGGCAGATGTGATTTGGGAAGAACTGGAGATGGACTGTTACTGCTCTGAAGATGGAGGAGAGGATCACAAGCCAAGGAACGCGGGTGGCCTCTTGAAGCTGGAAAAGGCAAACGGATTCTGCCCAAAAAGGAACGCAGCCCTGCCAGCACCTTCATTTTAGCCTAGTGAGATCTTTGTCAGACTTTTAACCTACCAGAATTGTAAGAAAATAAGTTTGTGGTGTTTTTAAGCCACTAATTTGTGATAATTTGTTCGGGCAGCAATAGGAAGCTAACAGCATTTTGTCTGAGTTATCCCTGAATGAATGGAAGTGATGCTCAGAGTCACTGAGCTTTCCTGTCCTCTGAATTGTTCTAAGTGATGGGTTTACACTGATCTCTCCACAGTTTCTTGACACAGCACTTTGACGATGCCAGGTCAGGATTCAAAGATGTCATCTGTGATCGTGGACCAGACGCGAGCCTAGTGCTCTGCAGAGCTAACACCCACAGCCTTGGACTTGGGATGAAAGCACACGTCAGAATGTCTGGCTTCGCAGGCTGTCCATTTATTTCTAATTAGCTGTGTAACCCTGTGCAAGACACTTAGTGTCTTTCCATTTCAGTTTTCTCAAAGGCAAAACAAAAACATGAACATACCTATGTTCTAGGGTTGAGGATTAAAGGAGATGGTCCGAGTACGTAGAGTACTTTATGTGATGCTTGGCACGTACTGTACCTCTTAACCAGTCTCTACCTGGTAACACTGGCCTGACTGGCTGGCACACTGGCTCTCAAGAATGTGGTACCCTGAGGACCATGGCTCAGAGGCTGCTCTCTAATACCCGTGTGCTTCTGTCCCACCAGATGAACTGTCTGCTTACAGAGACCTAGCTGTCACGGTCACTGAGCCTAACTGTTGTATGCAGGGTAATCATGTAATTAAGTATTCAGCAGCCCATGAACTGTGTGTAAAAGACTTCCGGTTTTATTTGCCAGCTACGTTGAATGTATTAGAAACACTGAGTACAAGCTAGTTGTTTCCCCTGCACCCCACCCCAGGGCCAAATGTTAAGTTAGGTATGGTGAGACACCTGCAAGAGACTGGGCAAACTTATATTTATCAATAAAAAGCAAAATGAAAGCAGAATCCAGTTCTTGCACCACTTTAAAGTACCTGAAACTAGAAATGGTAGAAAGTGCATGAGGTACCATGACAACTTGGAAATCAAGTCAGCAGATTCATATTCAAAGAAGACTGCAACCCAGTATCAACCAATTGCTGAGGGGATGTATACATTTGTTAAAGATAAGGCATTTATGTACTTCATGATTTACAAATTTAGCAGATCTTAAAAATTAGCCAATAGCCTACTGGTTCCCGTAACAGAAGAGTTTCAATAAATGTCAGTTAATATTAGCACTGTTAGGAAGTTCTGTTGCTTAGCATAAGCTAGTAGTTCTCAATTGGGCGATTTCTGCCTTCCAAGGACATTTGGCAATGCCTGGAGACATTTCTGGTAGACACAACTGGGGGGGGGGGTTATACTACAGTGTACCGGACAGCGCCCACAACAAAGATCTATCCAGTCCAAAATGTCAACAGTGCTAATGTTGAGAAACCCTGGTATAAACCCCTCTGGGCTTTATCAAACAAAGCCTTTGCTAACTCACGAGCGGGTACGGTGTGCAGACGTTGTGGGAGGGGTAAGATTCTTGTCTGTTATGTGAAACAATATGGAAATGCCTCTGGAAGATTTTCAGCATTACTGTTATTTAAATAAAGGTTCAGAAAAATTTCATGACATCACCTGTAAAGTCTCATCAATCTGGGAATATTGTTTATTTAGGTGGGTAGAACTTTGACTCCCCCTTCTCACCCTGTTCCTCCCCCGTTTTTCCCCATTCCAGTACATTTCAAGCCCAAAACCTACGTGAGGCCCAGCAAAGGCACTGGCCCATCAGAATAGCAATCACACAAAGACCCCAAGGCAGCCTGGGCATAGTCAACCTGTTACCAAGTCCTGCAAACTTTCATCTGCAAAACAAATCCTGAATCTGGCCTCTTCTTTCCATCCCTCAGTTACTCTGGTCCAGTAGCCTGGATCAGTCTTTTAGTTTGTTGTACTGTGGTGACTTGCACATTACTATGATGCTAGAAGCTATGCCACTAGTATTTCAAATACCACAGGGTCACCCATCAGGTTTCAGCGGAGCTTCCAGACTTAAGATGAGGAACAAAGGCCTGGCAATCTGCTTCTAAAAATTAGTGAAAACCCTTTGGATCACAACAGAAGACTGTGATATATGTTGGAAGATGGGCCCCCTAGGTTGGCAGGCACTCGAAGTACACTGTGTCCATAACAATGGACTCAAGCATACCAACAGTGGTGAAGGTGGTGCAAGACTGGGCAGCGTTTTGTATTGATGTACGTGGAGTTGCCATGAGTCAGAGCTGATTTATGGCAACTAACAACGACAACTGCAAGAGCCACCTCTCTGGTCTCCCTTGTATCTGTTCCTGCTCCTGCTGTTTCTCCACAGCCAGAACATATCGACCCTGTTTAAATGGCTCTCTATCTCACGCTGAATAAATCTGGGCTCCTCATCACACCCTCTGTATAAGTGTAAGATCTGACCTCTCCGACCTCGTCTTCTTTGGTCTGCCCTTCACTCCTTATGCTTCAACCACACTGGCCTTCTTTCAGTCTTTGAACTCCCTAAATACGAAAGGAGGGAAGGAGTGTTTGGCCATGCTGTAACAAAAACAATCTGGACATAAAATCAGGTATAGAGAGAGGAGTCACCATTTAGAGATGACTGAAAACCAAGCTCGTCTGGAATAATCTAGTCATAGTGTAAACAAACTGTAAACAAATGGATGCAGAGGTTAACTGTTCAGTTTTATAAAAAATTAGTTCAGACTTTGGGAGCCCTGGTGGTGCAACGGTCAAGTGCTTGGCTGCTAACCAAAAGGCTGGTAGTTTGATCCCACCCAGTGGCTCCACAGGAGAAAAGACCTGGTGATCCGTTCCCGTAAAGATTACAGCTAGGAAACCCTATGGGGCAGTTCTACTTTGTCCTATAGGGTCGCTATGAGTCGGAATCGACTTGACAGCACCCAACAACAGTTCAGACCTTAAGTCAACCAGAATAGACTTCTTAAAAGAGATTGAACAGTCAGGACTAAATACATATAAATTTCATGAGAGATAATGACACTTAATGTTATATACATTATTATAAATAATAAGCCTAGGGAAGATGACTCAGTGAATTCATGAGCTTCAAAGCAAATATTACTGTCCTGGTAGAGAAAGCGCCTTTGCTTTTGCTCGTAAAGAAAACAATGACAGCTTTTTCTAGCAAATAGAAATGGATCTTATATTCTTTTCCCCCCTCCTTCATACCAGTTTCCAAGAAATCTGAACAAAAGACAACAGAATAAAATATTTTTAAAGCCAGATTTCTCTGAGAATCTTTACTGATTATTTTCAAGCTCTGGGCAAAAGTACCTGTATTTACTTAAAAGATTGGATTAAAAACCAAAACTGTTGCAATTGAGTCAATTCTGACTCATAGTGACTCTACAGGACAGAGTAGAACTGCCCCAGAGGGTTTCCAAGGAGCGGTTGGTGGATTCAAACTGCTGACCTTTTGAGCTGTTAATCACTGTGTTACCAGGGCTCCAAGACTGGATTAAAGTCATTTAAGTGTGGTTATAAAAAGTATAAAAATTAAGTATTGCTACCAGGGCTCCAAGACTGGATTAAAGTCATTTAAGTGTGGTTATAAAAAGTATAAAAATTAAGTATTGCCCCATTTTTATGCAATCTTCTATAAAATGCTATGTTGCTTTTTTCCAATCTCCGAAATAAAAATCTTTCTCCTATACATATTTTCTTGCGAAAATCTCAGTGACTAAGCTATAAAGGAAAACTGCCTGGTAACTTAAAACTTCAGATATAACACCGATTTTTATCACTTGTGTTTCCGGGATCTGGCTCTGTCACACACTACCGGGGCAAGGGACACGGCTCCCAGAGGACCTGCCTGCAGTGCCTGGTAGCGGGGCTGCTCAGTGAAAGCATAAGGGTTGTCCATCTGTTAGCAATCACGGTGTGTGCTAACCAGCCCATGTGGGTACAGACTTGGAGAAAT